ACTCAGGTGATATTGATATATCCTCTCAGATACTGTTTGTGTATGTCTGTTTTCAGTGTAATTGTTTATTGATGACCAATATTGTACTCTCTATGCAGATAATGGAGAAGAGTGTACTAATCATAACAAGAAAAGAGGAATGGTTCTTCCATTTGAGCCGCATTGCATCACGTTTGATAAAATCACGTACTCTGTGGATATGCCACAGGTGATATAACATGTTTGAGATTGGACAAAATTTCTGCAACTCCAAAATTATGAGTAATTTTGTGAATCCATCTTGCAGTCAATGAAGAACCAAGGTGTTGTTGAGGACAAATTGGTGCTTCTCAAGTGTGTTAGTGGTGCTTTTAGGCCAGGTGTTCTGACAGCCCTTATGGGAGTGAGCGGTGCCGGTAAAACTACTCTAATGGATGTACTGGCTGGTAGAAAAACTAGAGGATATATTGAGGGAAATATTTCAATTTCTGGGTATCCAAAGAAGCAAGACTCATTTGCCAGAATTTCTGGATACTGTGAGCAGAATGACATCCACTCTCCTTATGTTACTGTCTATGAATCCTTGATGTACTCAGCATGGCTGCGTCTATCTACGAAAATTAGTTCTGGAACCAGGAAGGTTGGTATCTGCTAGTTAAGAATAATTTTCTACTCTTTATTTTCTTTTAATGCAATTTAAAGTCATGAGCAAGCTTGAACTGATTTTCAGAATTGGTTGTAGATGTTCGTTGATGAAGTGATGAGACTCGTAGAGCTGAATCCATTAAGGCAAGCACTAGTAGGGTTACCTGGTGAAAGTGGTCTCTCAACCGAGCAGCGGAAGAGGCTGACCATTGCGGTTGAACTAGTGGCAAACCCTTCTGTAATATTCATGGATGAACCAACTTCGGGTTTAGATGCAAGAGCTGCTGCTATTGTTATGAGAGCGGTTAGGAACATTGTGGACACGGGAAGAACAATATTGTGCACTATTCATCAGCCAAGCATCGACATATTTGAAGCTTTCGATGAGGTGAAACAGATATTGACTGAAAAGATTGAAATTGGTACTCCCATGTGTTTTGTCTGTTCTAAGTGGTTAGCATATGCAACATGTCATTGCAGTTGTTTTTAATGAAGCAAGGAGGACAGGAGATGTATGTAGGGCCACTAGGTTGTCATTCTTGCCATTTGATCAAGTACTTTGAGGTAGAATCTGATTAAAACTCAGGAAATTTCAATGGTAAAATATGATATTCTTATTTTTTTCTGCTGCTTCTTTTTTCAGAAACAAGGTTTTCTTGTACTTCTGTGCAGGGAATTGAGGGGGTGAGCAAAATCAAGAATGGCTACAATCCAGCTACTTGGATGTTAGAAGTTACCACTTCAGCAAAAGAAACGGCATTAGGAATTGATTTTGCTGATATTTATAGAAGTTCTGAAATTTATAGGTTGGTTTATCATACTGAAAAACCACCTACTGCACTAAAAGAAAATTGCTGAAAGAAGGCATAAGTAAAATTTGTTGATGAAAGTGATTTTGTTTCAGGAGAAACAAATCCCTTATTGAGGAACTGAGTACCCCTGCTCCTGGTTCAAAGGACCTCTACTTCCCTACTCGATACCCTCAGTCATTTTTCACTCAATGCAAGGCTTGCTTATGGAAACAACATTGGTCATACTGGCACAATCCGGAATACAATGCCATAAGGTTGATCTACACAACTGTGGTAGCCTTGCTGCTTGGGACAATGTTCTGGAATCTTGGTTCCAAAATGTAAGTCAGAGTGCAGAAGTAAAATATATGTAATAGAAGTTGAGATTCTTGCATGAGTAATTTTGAGTTTGTTAATTTCAGGGAAAAACAGCAAGAGCTCTTTAATGCAATTGGTTCTATGTATGCTTCTGTTATCTTTCTTGGTATTGAAAATGCCATGACAGTGCAGCCAATAGTGGCTGTTGAACGAACCGTCTTTTATAGAGAACGAGCTGCTGGAATGTATTCTGCCTTGGCATATGCCTTTGCACAGGTGAGTTATTCTATATGCATTTTACAAACATAGTTATTACAATGCATCATCTTGTCTTATTTGTATTGTGCTAATTCACTTATTTGTTGCAGGTCACAATTGAGGTCCTTTATGTTTTTGCACAAGCTGTGATCTACAGTGTCCTAGTTTATGCGATGATTGGATTTGAGTGGACTGTGGCTAAATTCTTTTGGTACCTATTCTTCATGTTTTTCACATGTTTGTACTTCACCTTCTATGGCATGATGGGGGTGGCCTTGACACCAAATCAACATGTTGCTGGTATAACTTCTAATGCATTTTATGCATTATGGAACCTCTTTTCTGGGTTCATCATCCCACGAACTGTAAGTTTCTGGCACTGCAAGTTTTTTTTTTCTTTTCAGTTAATAGAATCTATTTTGATGACAAATTTTCTATCTGGTTCCTTTGGCTGCTATCAGAGAATTCCTATATGGTGGAGATGGTACTATTGGGCATCCCCAATGGCTTGGACCTTGTATGGATTGACCGTATCACAGTTTGGAGATATACAGGCCAAGCTCAACACAGGTGAAACAGTACAAGAGTTTCTGAGAAGTTACTTTGGTTTCAAACAAGAATTTCTAGGAGTGGTTGCAGCTGTAGTTGTTGGATTTGCACTACTCTTTGCATTTACCTATGCCTTCTCCATCAAGATGTTGAATTTCCAATGGAGATAAGAAATTCTGAATAGCAATCATGTTATCAGCTTGTACACCATTTGGGAATTAACCTCATCAAATTTAATATTGGTAAAGTGGAAGTTCATTGCTTAAGATACAAGGATTTTTAAGTTTTTGTATGACATGGAAGAACTCCTCTCGATTTCGTTGTAGGTATAATATTAGCCAAATGGTAATTAAGTTCTTTTTTGGTGGTTTACTAAATTTCCTGTTTGTATATTAGGGGAGGAAAATTAAATATCCACCAAAGAAAGGAGGGAGAAACACTTCAATCAGCATAAAATAGGTAGTGTTCTTTTTAATGACGGTTTTGAACCTTTCGCTGCGGTGTGCGGCGATTTTATGACCTTTTGCGACAACTTTAGGCTCTCTTTAGCAATGGTTTTTATCGTCGCTAACCGCTATAAAATCCCTAATTAGCAGCGGAAAGGAAAACCGCCGCTAAAAGTTGTATATTGTGCTTGATTTTCCTTTGTAATGTGAGGTTTTACCGTCTTTCCTTCCTGCACATTGCAAGTTTGGGACCCTAGCTAGTTTGAGAAAAGACACAATTTGTCAGATTATCCTTGTTTCTGAATATGTCATGCTAATTTATTTTTAAAAAGTTTCCCAAGTCATTTTTTGTTGGTTTTTAATGGAAATATTGGGCATATTCAAAGTAGTTTAGAGTGGCACGATCCCGCTGCTCCCCTTTTCTTTTTAGAAAAATTAGGTATTAGACATAATTAAGTTTACTAATTAGTAAGTGAGATATTAGGTATTTTGGTTTGGGTTTTAATACCTAAGAAAAAATTGCTATTTTAGATTAGGCCAAAGACTGGCCCAGATTCGTTGGGCCTGTTTAAAAATAACAAATGAAAAAACAATTCTACCATTCTTCTTAAAAAGCTTGGCCCATATGTAAACCTACAAATTAAATGACGTTTTTACCTCTGAATGTTTAAACTACGCGCGAGTTTCTCTTTCTTTTTCGTTCGTTTTCTTTTTCGTTTCAGAGCTGTGGTTGTGGATCTGCCGTTGGAGCTCAATTTTCTGGTAGGTTTTCCTTTTATTTTCTTCGTTTTTCTGCTTTCTTTTTTCTGCTACGTTTTCGTTCGATTTGCATGCTGAATGACTGTCAATTTTGGGAGATTTCTGTTCTCCTTAGTTCGGGTATTTCGAGCTCAATTTTGTGGCTCGATTTTGCAGCGCGATCTTGTAGCGTTCAATGCTAAACCCTATATTCTTTGTTTTGTGATCAGATTTGATTTTGAGTTGCTGTTTGGTTGTAGAGATTTTTGGCAGTCCAAAGTTTTGAGGTATGAGTACTTTAGAACTTGTTTTCGTTTATATCGACTTGTATGTGGAATTTAGTTTTAGTACTTTTATCGTGGTTTCCTTTTGGTTTCTATTCGAATTGTTTTTATTTTCTGTCATAAATTGCATCTGTTTGTTGTAGTTTTGGCAGAAACTGCATTGCAGTTTCTTGTTTCATAATTCGATTTCAGACTAATATTTGGAAGTCTATTGGAATTTTACAAATGCTCATGTACATTATTTATTGATTTGAATTGTTTTCTGTTTTTGTTTGTTGTTTTGTTTGCATTTTCAAGGCTAATGGAGGTGTGTGTCATTGCCAAGTGCACATAAAAGTCGGAAACCATTATGTTTTCAGTTTCATCAGAGTCATCCATGGTTGATATTTTGAAGACTTTGTGTCTAAGGTTTAAGGGTTTGTAGTTGGGTTGTTTTACATTAAGGTATTCGTTGCCCAGTTATCCGAGTTGTTTTCTAGAAACGGATAGCGATTTGGACATAATGAGGACATTTTTATTTGTATCAAATGAGAAGAGTGTTGATATTTTAGTGAAGGATTTATGCGGGAGCAGTGAATATAGTGGTGATTTTTGTGTAAATAAGGAGTTGATAGCATGTGAAAAGGGCGAGTCATCGTGTTCTAGTATTGTCGAAGACAAAAATGAATTTTTGGGCAGGTCGAGAGGGCAAGTGCTAAGCCTTTGTTGTCGAATGAGTGGGAGACGTACATACATCATGTAGGGCAGAAGTTTGACGGTGGTGCAGATGAGTTCCGTTTGAAATTGTGCAAGTACGCTCTTGAAGTAGGATTTAATTTTTTATATGCGGCAATGACAAGAAGCGGGTGGTTGCTATTTGTTCGATTAAGAAATTAGAGGGTTGTAGCTGGCGTGTTTATGCTTCTCGTTGTGAAGCTACTAGCTGTTTTGTAATTCGGACATTAAATAATGTGCATACATGTGCGGGTTGGATAAGGGAATCAAAGAGTAAGATGATGAGGTCTCGTGTGGTGTCCTCCCTCATTGTGGACAGAATTCGTGCAAAACCAGAGCTGAAGCCAGTTGAGATTATACAACCCTGGTTCTCTCTGCACTCTTGAATGTGAAGCTGGAATTAATCTCTTTAGACGGTTTTTTGTGTCATTTGGTTGTTGCATTGCTGGATTTCAATATTGCATACCCTTGTTGCTCATTGATGCTACGTTTTTGAAGAGCAAGTACAAGGGGCAGCTTCTCTGTGCTTCCAGAAAGAATGGAAATGAAGGTATGGTTACTGTAATGTATTGCAGATTTCATTTGTTGCAATTTTTTAGCAAAAACTGCATTGCAGTTTCTTGTTTCATAATTCGATTTTCTTAATAATTTTTGTATGTCTGTGGGAATGTTGCAACTGCTCATGAACTTAAATGTGTTTTAAACTTAGTTTTAGTACTTGGATCATGGATTTGCCTTTTGGTTTCCTTTCAAATTTCAACAGATTTGTTTTCAAAAACTGCACTGCAATTTCCCTTTTTTGCTTATACTTGTGCTTTTGGTTTTGTTTTGCAAGGTTTTATCCTCTAGCTTTTGGAGTTGTTGATTCTGAGACAGAGGAGAATTGGACTTGGTTTCTTCAACATTTGGCTTCTCTTTTGCTACCAATGGGGACAGTGGTGACCTTTTTCTCGGATCGCAATCAAGGTTTGTTAAATGCAATGGGGTTTGTGTTTCCTGAATGGCCTCATTCTTACTGTTACTATCATCTCAAACAGAATTTGATATCGAAGTACCTGAAATCAGGTTATGGGAAATTGCTCCAAGACCGTGTTATCAATTTATTTAGTAGATGCGCATATGCTATTACCGAGGAAGAGTTTACGGTAGCAATGGAGGAGTTTGTGATTGTTGGGAGTTCGAAAGTGAAGGCATTTATATTTGATTTGTCTAGAGATCACTATGCCAACGCATATTTCAAAGGAATGCAGTATGGGGAGATGGCAAACAGTTTAGCTGAGTCATTTAATAATTGGGTTGGTGTGTTTCAAGATTTGCCGGTGCTACCTTTGATAGAAGGGATTCGACATAAATTGATGGTATTGAATTCTCAACGACAAATTGAAGCGGAGAAGTGGACAACAATTTTGTGTCCGGAGATGGAAACTAGACTGTGGGAAAATGCGAAGGCTGGTAGGACTTGGGTAGTTCGTCGTTCTAGTTTTACTGTTTTTGAAGTATTTGCTGATTATTCTGTGATGGTTGATCTTAAGCAAAGGACTTGTTCTTGCCATCTTTGGCAAATTGACGGTTTTCATTGCACGCATGCGGTGGCTGCAATTCTAGCAAAGAAAGATTCAGTTTATGATTACGTGGAGTGTTACTACAGGACTGACTTCTTTCTAAAAGCCTATGAGAGTCATATTTTTCCTATTCTAGATATTGGGAAAGGCTTGGGCAGCAACAGTTTGGCAGCTGGAGTTGTGCTTCTGCCAATTACAAATAGGCCAGCCGAAAGACCACCAACAAAGAGGATCAAAGCTTTTGGTGAATTTAAAAAGCCCTTGAAATGCAGTCGATGTAGTGTTACTAGGCAGAATAGGAAGACTTGCAAGGCTGTGATATGAACATTCCTTCTCAGTTGACGATTGCTTACGTTAGATATGGTTTAGTGAATGTATAGTCAGTTTCTGCATTGCAC